CACTAATAAATGCAGTCTTAGAGTTTGATTAACTTCTCTTCCAGTAGGTGGCGCTGTGCCCACCAGGCCAAGTTTCTCCTGTCAATATGCGGGAACCAATCACTGTGCAGCAGCTCCTCCTCCCAGACTGGGCGAGTCTCCAATCCTGAGTGCCTAGGGCCTCCTCTTGTGTCTAGTCACTTCCCCMCTTTTCCTCTAGCCAGGCCCCTCTCACGGGTGCCGCTCACCACAATACTGGGTACACGCCAGGTCTGCTGCTCCYGGGAGCCCTGTTTTCATGGATGATTGGGCACACTCTCCCAGATTGCCTGTCCCTCAGACCCTAAGTTTGTGGAGCTTAGGGCTGAGAATCCTCAGCGAATTTTACTTGCCCTCCGGTAGCCACGCCCCCGGTAGCTGGTGCAAGAGACCTCAGCTGTCAGCTCTGGTGGGAGTGGTCTGTGATAGTCTTTTAAATAAGCATTTGTAGTCATCTTTGATTATGTCTTTGGGATAATACCCAGAAATTGAAAGTGTCAGTTAAAGGATAAGCATAATTTTGAAGCCTTTAGTGATTTGGCAAAACTGACTTCCAGAAAGATAGTAACAATTCTTACTCTTAGGAATTTAGTTATGTGTGTTGAATTCTTGTTTTATTTTTAACATAGACAGAAAAAGAAATACCTGCATATGTCTGAGGCAGATTGCTCGTAGAATATTATAATGAGCAGATAAAAATGATTAACAAGCAATCTCAAGTCTGCAACATTATTTTCTCCAGGAAAAAAAGAAACCTGTCAAAGCAATTTGAATGAGCCATGATTGAAAAAGCTATAATGGTTTCAATTAACAGGAACCATTCTGAAGACTAGGAAGTCATAGGCTAGCCTAAGGAAATAATTTTCAGACTTTATATTTATCAGAATCACATGGGGCAGCTTGTTATAATTTTAGATTTTACGTTACTACCTAGAGGCAGATGTGGGAGATCACATTGAGAAACATCAAATTAGAATTAGCACATTAATTGAGTCTTTTCAAACTTTGAAAGCATGCTACAGTATATAATTCTATACCTGACAACTAGCCTTGTGTTAATGGTTACTGTTTATTTTAAGTTAGGCAAAATATCAATTGTAGTGCAGGTAATTTTTCTTTTAAACATATTAGTCTGCTTCCTTTCATTTATTTCTTTTCATAATAGCTCATTTTAATTGTTTGAATTATTGTATTTATTGACTAGATTTGTGTTTTATTCTACATTTTTCATAAATCTGTATCTGAGAGTGACTTTTTCCTGGCTTTGTTACATATAATCCCAGACATGGCCAATTTCCTGGTAACTCTAAAGAGTTCCAAACATGAAATATGAATAGGTAGGAACCTCAAGAAATTATTGGGCCCAATTCCCTTTCTTTAAGTAACTTAACTGTATCCTCTGGGACAAATGCCTGAATTAAACCACACGTGGAGAATGTGTGACATTTACTTTCAGCTGTATTTTAGGATAGATTCTCCAGAGGCTAATCCTGGGATTTCTGGAGTTGTCTGAAGGTAGGTGATTGCAGGAGTTGACTATACCTGGAATTAGATATAGCTGCCCAGGCATGATTTTTTAATTGTCTGAATATGAACTTTCGACAGTCTTTTCCTATTTCCATGTAAATATGAGCTGTTGAGGTTGATTACAGTTTGATTTTTAATATTTAGAAGGAAGTGGTGAAGTTGACTGAAAAATGCCTTAATAATGCCATTGAGAGCCCCGGATTGAATGCCATGAGAGTTCCTCCTGACTTCAAGAGTAACATTTTGAAGGCTCAAGTAGAAGCAGTGCATAAGGTAAGCTATCTTTAATAGACAGTCCTGGTGAAATGAAAAGTATACACTATTTGACCCAGCTATCCCCCTCCTCGGTCTGTACTCAAAGGATTTAAAAACAGCCTACCACAGGGACACAGCCACTTCAGTATTTATAGCAGCACAGTTCACAATAGCTAAACTGTGTAACCAACCTAGATGCCCTTCAGTAGATGACTGAATAAAGAAACTGTCGTACATATATACAATGGAATAATTACTCAGCATTAAAAGAGAATAAAAAGTATGGCATTTGTAGGTAAATGGATGGAGTTGGAGAATATCATGCTAAGCAAAATAAGCCAATCCCCAAAAAAACGGTGCCAAATGTTTTCTCTGATAAATGGATGCTAATCCATAATGGGGGGGTGGGCATGAGATGAGTGGAAGAACTTTGGATGGGGCAAAGCAGGGGTGGGGGGGTGAGGGAAAAGGAGTAGGATATATATGGTGGACGAATGGTGTGACTCTACTTCATGTACAACCAGGGAAGTGAAAAATTCTTCATTTATGTACAATGAATCAAAGAGCTTTCTACTGTCATGTATAAGTGATTAGAACTAATAAAAAAGGAAAAAAAGAGAACAGAATATAGAATTTAGCAAGAGACTAGAGGTAGAGTACAATAGTAAGAAACACATTCATAATGCCTTTCTCAAATCTAAATGCAAATTAAGCTCAACTAAGATGAGTCATTCATGGAGTAAAATGTCAGAATGAAGATACTCTGTTGTGTAAGTACTTAAAAAATAAAAAGCCAATATACTTTTAAAGTGAGTCCTTACTTATTTTCATTTTTATAGCCAGAAAACCCCAGTGATTTTTTGTTTGTTTAGTTCTTGAACCATTAAGTCTATGATGCTGTATCCTTCAACTACTTCTCACCACCCATGTATCCTCAATTGGGCAAAATTGTGAGGTAAAAGGTAGAGTGGTTTATGACATGATAAAGGATATAGTGTGTAGGGTCAGCCCTCCAGGAAGAATATGGTAGCCATGCCTTTTCAAATCAACTCTTCCTTGATTCTCCTCACCTTTGAAACTTTTTCTCCATGCTGAAACCAGATCGAAGGCTGTTTCACCAAGTCAGGCTTACCTGGTTGTCAACAAACTTTAAAGTCTCTTTTTGTTGAGAAGTTATGCTTGATTAGAACTGAGATGACAGGGAATACTGTCCATGCTTTTTATCCCCCTCCCCAATGTAAACACATAGCATGATATTCATATATCAAAGTAAATACAAAATATAACAGGCGCCATCAAGAACCCCATTTCTGTTCTGTAACCAACCAACTTTCTGACTTGGGTTAAATCAGTTCATTTCTCTGAGCCTAAGTTAAATTATGTTTAAAATAAAATAATGTTAATACCTACATTTGATGTGTTATAAGAATAAAGCATCCTAATAAATGTTAAGGACGTGGAATAGTGCCTGGCACACAATAAGCATTTTAAAAGGGTTGACACCCATTATTGGAAATAGCAATAGCTTTAATAGCTATTATGATTCACTATGATCTGATTGGGGATTTTTTTGCCTTCAAAATTTGTATGTGGAAACTAATCCACAGAGCATTGCTGTTAATAGGTGGAACTTTGGTGAGGCATGGTCCCTTATGAATGGGATTAATGTTCTTGTTGAAAAGTCTGGAGAGAGCCAGTGCCTTAATCTTGTACTTCCTAGTCTCTGGAACTGTGTGAAATAAATGTTTGTTATTTGTAGGCCACCAGTTTATGGCATTTTGTTATCGAAGCCTGAATAGACATTATTATCTTATATTTCAGTTTCATCTTTCTTTATGTAAAGAAGAAATAATTTCAGTAGCTCTGAATTATAGGAATTGTATTTTATAGTTATAAGCCTGATGAAGAATAATCCAGGATAGTCGCTTTCATGGTAGAAATCTACCAAATAATAATAGTTTTATACAAACCTGCAGAAAGTAGAGGAGGAAGGAAAACTTCTCAATTCATCTGTGAAACTAGTGGTATTTCTATACCAAAACCAGAAAAAAATTAGAAGAAAATTAACTCCAAACTAGGACTTCCCTTGAACAGACATAAAAGTTCTTAACAAAATATAATCAGATCATACTTAGCAATTCAAATATAGGATCATACATCATGATCATAGGGTTTCTCTTTGAAAAGAAGTTGGATTATCATTCAAACCCAGGTATAGTTCATTTGTTAAAAAATGCATAAGATTGTCTCATACAGAAAAGGCATTCCATAAAATGCAGCATTTATTCATGATAAAAGCTTTCAACACAGTAGAAATAAGATGGTATTTCTTTAGCCTGATAAAGACATGTAGGGAAAAAAGTCTATAGTGAATATCACATTTCATGGTGAAAGACATGTTCACTGAAATAGCTTAAAGACTGTCCACCACTGTGTTGGTGATGATACATTGCTCCTAAGAATATAAAATGGCCTAAACACTTTAGAATAAAGAGTTTAGCAGTGTATTAAGCACACATTAACTGCCTGATCCAACCATTACATACTTAGTTATTTACCTAAGAGAAATTAAAGCTTGGGCTCACATAGATATTAGTACATTATAATGTTCTCAGCAAATTTATTTGTAAAAATTGGAAACAAATGAACAGATGTTGTGGCATGTCTGTATAGTTGAAATGCTACTCAGCATCCATTGGTGATATACGCAGCAAGATCATGAGGGAGGGGCTGGGGTTGTGGCTCGACAGTAGAGTGCTTGCCTAGCACATTCGAGGCCCTGGGTTTGATCCTCAGCACCACATAAAAATAAATAAACAAATAAAATAAAGGTGTCCAACTACAATTGAAAAATAAATATTAAAAAAAAAAAGATCATGAGATAATCTCAAAAACATTGCTTCTCTAAAGAAGCAGACCCAAAAGTAGGTATTATCTGAGTTCAATTACATGAAATTATAGAATGTATAGATTGCTCACAAGTAAGGGTTTTTGAGGGGATTGAGTGAAAAAGCCTTGAGGGAACACTTGGTGTGTGGGAGGATAGTAGAAAGAAGTGATGCATGTGGTGTGTTTATGCACCTGTATATACTTTCAAAATTCATTGAGGCCTACACTTAAATTTCATCTTTTTTTTTTTTTGAGGAATTGTTGTGCTTGGTTAAACCCAGGGCCTGGAACATGTTAGACAACTTCTCTAAGTACCACTAAGCTACTTCACCGAGTCTACATTTAAAATGTGTAAAGAATACCAATAAAGTTTGGGGGAAAGCTAAAATATATCTTCCATTTAAGGGGGAAAAAAAGCCAAATACATGGCTTAACATGTTTGGGTTTTTTTTAACATTAATTTTAAAAATTCTGGCCTTGGGGCTGGGATTGTGGCTCAGTGGCAGAGCGCTTGCCTCACATATATGAGGCTGGGTTTGATTCTCAGCACCACATAAAAATAAATAAATAAATAAAGGTATTGTGTCCATCTACAACTAAAAAAATATTAAAAAAAATTCTGGCCTTGAATCTTTGTGAACACACTGTGATATCTTTTTTTTTTTTTTTTGTACTAATGCTTGAACCCAAGGGCACTTAACCAATGAGCCACATCCCCAGCCCTTTTTGTATTTATTTAGAGATAAGGTCTTATTGAGTCCCTTAGGGCCTTGCTGAGTTGCTAGGCTGGCTTTGAACTCTTGATCCTCCTGTCTCAGCCTCTGAAGCCACTGGGATTACATGCATGCCCCACCTCACCTGGCCCACTCTGATGTCTTAAAACAATTGACAGCAGTATAGTAAGTGCATGGGAATTTGTATACCAAACATATTGAAATTGAGTCTTTGATAATTAATTTGGCTATGGGATAGGATTGCATTAAGTATAGTATTGATAAGTGGTGGTACTTCTTATTTGAACTAAAGCCTGGAGCAAACTGATAATTTTTTTTATGGTTTCATTTCCTTAGGTTACAAGAGAAGATAGCTTATTAAGTCATAAAAATGCCAGTGTTCAGGATGCTACCATAGACAGGTACGATTCTTGGTAGAGAGAAGTAAATTGATTTTCTGATCCTTTCCTGCTGCCTTTGTGTGTGTGTGTTTACTTCCCCAATCTATCATTATGTGGTTAAATGATAGTTATTTGAAGAAGAGCTTGAATTCACTCTTTTCCATCACAGAGCCACTTAATACCTACTTTTAGATTATTTGAAGAGACTCCTAGTCTTCCTACATTCTCACTTGTCTTAAGCTAATTTAAAAAAAATAGAATAAAAAAACATCTTTAGCCAGATGCACTGGTGTATGACAGGATCACAAGTTCAAAGCCAGCCTTAACAACTTAGTGAGGCTTTAAGCAACTTAGCAAGACCATGTCTCACAATAAAACATACATATGACATAACTACACAATGGAGTATTACTTAGCCATAAAGTGCCCCTGGGTTCAATCCTTGGTACAAAAAAAAAAAAAAAAGAACATCTTTCAAGATATTTTGAATCTCATAGTATACTTGGTGTGAAATGCTTATCATTTCTCTGGGTGTCATAGTTAACTTAGTGCCATCACAGTGGCCTTGTGCTTTTACCTACCATTGATTCTCACATTAACTGAACAGATTTTTTTGTTACTTCTCCTACTCTCTTTTGCTTCTTGTCAATGAGTATTATGCCATTTACTTGTCTTGTTAGACTTTTATTCCTTGTGTTTTTTTTTAATTTGTTTATTTTTATGTGGTGCTGAGGATTGAACCCAGTGCCTCACACATGCTAGGAAAGCTCTCTACCACTGAGCCCCAGCCCCAGCCCCTTATTCCTTGTTTTATGCCAGTTTTATCATCACTGTATATCTAATGATCTGTTCTTATTTGGTGCTAAAAAATATTGGTAAATTAATGTTCTTTTCTGATTTTCAAAATTTTTTCAATGAAGATTTTCTGAATAATCATTCTGTTCCATATGCTGTAAACAACATAGCATATAAGCGTGTATCATCCTTTACGTTTAAGACTTTACGGTTGGTTCTCAACATCCATACTAATTGATGATCAGGGAAAAACCGGTGTTACTGCTTATTCCTTTCATTTATTCTAAATTAAATGTTGGTGCTAACATTTGTTAGTACTGTCATTATTAAAGTTGTATTTAGAATAAATAGAAGGAAAAGGGGGGCAGGACTGGCCTGTGTTCATCAGAAGTTTTATTAAACTCTTTTTTTAGTATCTTTTTTTTTTAGTTGTAATTGGACACAATACCTTTTTAGTTATTTATTTATTTTATGTGATGCTAAGGATTGAACCCAGGCCCTTGCGCATGCTAGGCACGCTCTTTACTGCTGAGCCACATCCCCAGCCCTTATTAAACTCTTAAAGCTATAAAGAGTTTAGGATATACTCCACCTTCCAAATTTATTTTTCTAAGTAGCTGTTTATATTTTGAATAATCTATTTTCCCCCCTCACAATTTGAAATATTGTGTGTTCTCTTTTAAACTTAACATCTGTTTCTGGACCTTTTCCTTTTCTGCTAATGCCTTTCTCATGGCATATCATCCTGTTTTTATTACTCCTTTTGAAAAATATTTCAGGCATAGAGAAAATCATGGAGAATTATGTAATGTATACCTATGAACCATATATCAAATTTTGTCATAAGATTTTGTTATAGTAGATAATTTTTATTTTACTTTTAAAAATTTAGATGTATTTCATATATCACAAAATTTCCCCCTTAAAATGTGCAATTCATTTTTTGTGTGTATTCATAAAGTTGTGCTTCTAGTATTCAATTTTAGAACATTGTTGTCATTTCTAAAAGAAACACCTACCAGTAGTCACTCCTCATTTCTCCACCTCCCGTCCCCACCCAGCCCCAGCATCTGACAGCCACTAATTTACTTTTCTTTTTTTTTTTTTTAAGTACCTGAGATTAAATCCAGGAATGCTTAACCACTGAGCCACATCTTCATTCCTCTTTTATTTTTTATTTTGAGACAGTTAGTTAGGGTCTTGCTAAATTGCTTTGAATTTACTATCCTCCTACCTCAGTCTCCTGAGCCACTGGGATTACAAGCATGCACCACTGCACCCACCTAGCTAATCTACTTTTTTTCAAAATATTTTTTAGTTGTTGATAAACCTTTGTTTTTTATTTATTTGTATGTGGTGCTGAGAATTGAACCCAGTGCCTCACACATGCTAGGCAAACGCTCTACCACTGAGCCACAATCCCAGCCCTGCTAATCTACTTTTAATCTCCATGGATTTAGCTACTCTGGATACTTCTTATAAATGGAACTATATTATATGTGGCCTTTTGTGTCTGCTTCTTTTATTCTTCTAATGCTTATAAAGCCCATATTGTGGCATGTATTGGTACTTTACCAGACTTTATGGCTAAGTAATACTTCATTGTGTAGTTATGTCATATTTATACTCTCCTTATTTATTCTTTTTCTCTGGTTCTCTCAATTATTGGAACTAATATTAGTTAAATATTAAATATGTACATAATTTCTCTGGATTTGAGGCTTTGGGGGGAGGCTGTAACATCTCTTAAAAGCAGACTTTAGAGGCTTTTAGGCATTATGAAATTTTTCTTTTTGGAAAAGGTAAATCTTTTTTTTGTGTCATTTAAGTGGGATTTGAGAAGGGAAAGCAAGGTAGTCTGCTATTTTGATCCAGCTGTGAATAAATCTGACCTGTGTATAAAAACTGTTCTGTGGGCCATGGGGACAGGTTAGGCACATGCATACAATACTGACTGCTGGGTGTACATCACCAGTTGTTATTTATTTTCCCCCTGTATGAATTCCTTATTCTTTTTTCCTAAGTCCTTTTCTTAAAAAACCCTGCCTTTTCCTATAAAGGTCCTACATGATCTGAATTTATCTTTTTCTTTCCAGTGTTGTATTAAATGAGAATAATGTGTTCCTCTCCAAAGATTCTCTTGCTCCGATGTGTACCATACCTGCAGATAGCAATTCTGTTCTGAAGGTAAGAATACTTCTTTAAGTTTTTTAAGGGAGTATTGAGTTGAATTCTGTTTATGCTTTCACTCTTCCTTTTGAGGAGATACAATATTATATGCAAATAGACACTTTTTAAGTTCTTATTAGATGGAAGAGTTCCAGCTATATATCTCAAACATGGGTGATTTTTGTTGAAATTTGTGTCTGATTTGTTCTGGAGAATATGAGCTGTGAGAGAGCCTTGATCTATTCATTGCTATATCCCTAGAGTCTCAAAAAATATATGGCACCTAATAGACACTGAGTAAATATTTGTTGGTTGAAATAAACTTTTTGAAATAATGGTGCCAATTATTGATTACATTGCGACATAATCAGCTCATCTCAACTTCTGCATTTTTTATGTCCACATGTCATATGCTTACCAGTTCAGAAGTTACAGAAACCCATTTTATTGCCCATGAATGCTTTAATTTGCAAGTTAAATTTAAAATGGTCCTTGCAAATTAATGCACTGCTTTGCTCTTTTGTTGCATAATGTGTATTTGTTGTAGAAGTCTACCAAGTATTTTACTAAACAGGAAAAACTAAATATCACATTTATTGTCACTATGCAAAAGATATGGTATGGTTGATATTTAGGGATATAATCTTTTAGATTTTAGGGCTTGTGGAAAACCCCAACCTAAAGTACCTTCAAAATTAGGAATTCCTTTTTTTGCTAATTAAAATTCTAAAAAGGCATTTGACTACCTGGTGAAATGGAATTCTTAGGTGGAATCTGAGGTGTTTTTAGAACAGAGAAGAACATTTAGTTGAAAGATTTATTGTGTATATAATGTGTCCCAGACAGCATGTTAGTCACTACAGATTAGAAAATGAATGAAACATAGTCTGTGTTTTCAAACTGCTTATGATGCAGTGGGAGAGAGAATTGTGCTAGAGTGATAGTGACATATACAAGCTGTTACGATGAATTTAGCATAGGCAACAGGGTGGGAAGGGATGGGGTGGGAGGAAAGAGTTTAAAGAGGAAAGAGCAATTCTTTCATATGTATGACTAAAATTTAGTTGTGTATGGAAATAGGAATAGGAGATTCATGAAGGCCTGAAGACAAATAGATTGAAATAAAAATGTGTAAATGAAGGGCCTTTTAATTTTGTCTTATTTTTTGAAGGGCCTTTTTAAATGTTCTTTATACTGCAGGTTCCTATTTTTCATATTACTGGACTGGAATTTTGTATTTTATGGTTTTTAAATTCCACCTCCCCTCACAGTGTGATACAGAAGATGCCTCAAATATTAAAATCAACAATTATTATCATTTATGGGGGAGAGAGTTCATATTGTATTCTTTTCCAATTAGTGAAGCATCCAAACATCTTGACAGAGAAGCATTTTGAAATTGAGGGACCTCTTTGATTGACTGTCTCTTGTGCTTTTAAAAAAAAAAAAAAAAAAAAAAACAGGTCAGAGCAGTCATAACCTTACCCAAGTTGTATCTCACCCAAAGGAATACCTATATGAACATATACAGAACACTTCTTTTTTAAGTTCTGATTTGTAGTTTTGTGTTCCCTTCCATGGAGAAGTGGAATCATTAATAACCAGAATTCCCAAATGTTCTTGTTTGCTTAAAGGATTAATACTAACCAGGCGTGGGTCAGAATTTTACATTGGGAAGATATGGCCAAAAAAAAAAGTCTGATGATGAATGAATCATTTAACTATTCTAGATTCCTTGTCTTATATAGGATGCCACAGATGAATTGGATGCCTTGCTCTTATCTCTAACTGAGAATCTAATTGACCCCACAGTCACACCTCAGGTAAATATGTTTTAAAACAGCAAGATGGGAAGGAATTTTGCCTTGAAAATGGTCTGGTTAGATTCTGGTTTTTGCCTATTTAACAATTTAGTAAAAGTTTTCATTTAATAAGAGTTTGTATTTCAGAAACCACTTAGCATTGCCTTTCTTGTACTAAAATTCTTCCACTTTGAATTTACATGTCACTATAGAAATCGTAGGAGCCTATTTAAAATTCAACACTATATTAAATTAAATGAGAGAAAATATGTGGATAAACAGCTTAAAAAGTTAAGACCAAGTGGGTGTGCTGGTGGTGCACAGCTGTAATTCCAGCTATGCAGGAGGCTGAGGTGGGAGGATCACAAGTTTGAGGCTAGGTTGGGCAAATTAGTGCAATCCCATCTCAAAATAAAACATTAAAAAGACCTGGGGATGGCCAGGCATAGTGGCACATACTTATAATCCCAGCAGCTCTGGAGGCTCAGTCAGGAGGATAGCAAGATCAAAGCCAGCCTCAGCAACTTAACAAGGCCCTAAGCAACTCAGTGAGACCCTGTCTCTAATAAAATATATAAAAGGACTGGGGATTAAGCACCCCTGGGTTCAATCCCCAGGACCAAAAAAGACTGGGGATGTAGCTCAGTGGTAGAGCACCACTGGGTTCAATACCTAGTATTACCAAAAAAAAAAAAAAAAAAAAGAGAAAGAAAAAAATTTTTTTTTTAACATTTTTCTTTTTTTTTTTTTAAGGAGAGAGTGAGAGACAGTGAGAGAGAGGGAGAGAGAGAGAATTTTTAATATTTATTTTTTTAGTTCTCGGCGGACACAACATCTTTGTTGGTATGTGGTGCTGAGGATCGAACCCGGGCCGCATGCATGCCAGGCGAGCGTGCTACCGCTTGAGCCACATCCCCAGCCCATGTATTTTCTTAATATGGTAGGAAAGTCATACTTTGTATGTTTCTGGTTCTGGTGATTAATCTAACTCACTAAGATTTGGACTTATTTAAATTTTTCTTATTAGTAGCTAATGTTACCAGTGCAAGAACTAGTCTAAGTTTCCATATTTACAACTCATAGTCAAATTAGTTCACTTCTGAACATTCTTGCATTATCTCACACATGAGCTTTTGAGGGACACTTCATAAATAATCCATAATAATATGGGATCTGTATTAAAGAAGAGAGTCTTTGAAAGTCCATGTAAGCTTAAGGGACTCATTAAGAATTGTATTCCTAAGCTGGGGATATAGCTCAGTTGGTAGAGTACCTTGCATGCACAAGGCCCTGGGTTCAACCCTCAGCACCACCAAAAAAAAAAAAAAAAGAATTCCTACATGTCTTTTATAATATGAAAAAGTATTGTAATTATGATAAATCTATCTTCCCTGAAAGTAAATACATATATAAAATTTGTTTTAGGTGTCTTCAACACCCATGATCACACCCCGGTGGATTGTTCCAGTAAGTTCATGAGATTTATGATTTTTATTCTGGTTACTCTTTCAGGGCAAGGTCTAAATGATCACTAGGTTCTTGTTTTTCCTTACAAACATTTGGGTCATTATCAAAGTTGTGTTAACTGAATTTAATGGCTTCAAATTCATGGTTTAATCTTTCCTGTTTGCCAATTCTTAAGGATGTGGCCAAAAATAAATAAATAAAATAAAATCTGAGGTTGAGGATAATTTTTAAAAAACAAAGCAATCATGAACATCCAAATCTTCCTCCCTGCCATAGTCATTAATGAAGTTAATATGTAACTGATGTGCTGACCCAGTGTTACCTCAGTGTTGAGATGTGTTGTGTGTGTCTCATAGCAGAGTGGTGCCATTTCTAATGGACTTGGAAGATATGGAACATTGTTGGCAGGAAAAGAAGGACATGGTAATAAAGATGAAATTTCATTGATCTCTCCTCCAGCACCATTCTTAGTAGATGCTGTGACCAGGTAAGGAAATTATTTCTCAGCTGCAGTTTAAAAAACTGCATCTTTTGGAGGGAAAATAATAGTTAGATTTAAATAACAAATGTCAGTTTTCCTTCTTCTTCCTCCTTCTCTCTTCCTTTTTCTTCCTCTTCCTCTTCTCCGCCCCCCCCCCTTTTCCCCCCTTTTTTCTTTTTGTACAGGGGATAGAACCAGAGTCTTAGGCATGCTAGACAAGTGCTTCACTGCTGAGCCCCATATCTCCAGCCATTTTGAAACTTTTTTTGGAGACAGGGTCTCACCAAATTGCCGTATGCTGGTCTCAGACCTGTGATTCTCCACTTCAGCTTCCCAAGTAGTTGAGAATACAGGCTAGTGTCACTGGGCTCAACCTTCAGTTCTTCTAGTTGAACAAATAAAACTGGATACATCTTTTCTGTTTATCATAATGGGTTTTTTTCCTTACTACTAGTAGTTTTTTAAAAATACTTTTTAGATGTTGGTGCCCCTTTATTTTATTCACTTATTTATATGTGGTACTGAGAATCGAACCTAGGGCCTCACACATGTGAGGCAAGTGCTCTATCACTGAGCCACAATCCCAGCCCACTACTGGTAGTTTTTTATTAAGGTTTCTTTGTGAAGTCTTTGCTAGATAAAGATAATAATAGGTTTATCTTTAAATTTTTATATTTGTTTTAAATTTATATCTTTTCCTTTTATTCTTTACTATTATGCTTGTTCCTACTGTATACTAGTGATGAATGGCAGTGTCTATCACTATTGGTGAAGAAGTACAGTATGAGGTAGGAAATTCCCAAGGTAAGGGCTCCAAAGTAGCTGATGTCAACATTTAACTTGCTACAAATTAGATTGAAAAGAGCTCTTCAACTTTTGATTGCTAGGTCCATAACTGTTCCTATTTTGCAAAAGGTTTATAATTGCCTTTACTCTTACCTCAGACCTTTTTCTTAGTTGTTGCCATTCCCCATATCCTCCTGGTGTTGAGAAAGGGGGGAAATTATTAGAGATGATTAACTTAAAAGATATTCATAGGTTGACTTTAAAATCATTCCCTTATCTTCATAGTCTTTTCAGTAATACCATTTCTCACTCAGCAAACACTTTAGTGTCTGTGATGTCCCTGACATTATTTATTTCTGGCATTGAAGATAGTAGTGAATAAGACAGATTGGAACCTGCCTTAGGGAATTTCACATGTAGTCAAATTCCACTTTATGCAAATCTAATGGATTATTTTTCTAATCATTTGTAGCCTAGCAATTGCCACTATAAAAGTATCTCAACAGGGAGTGGGGCTGTAGCTCAGTGGCAGAGCTCTAACCTTGCATGTGTGGGGCACTGGGTTTGATCCTCAGCATCACGTACAAATAAACAAATAAAGGCATGCTGTCCATCTACAACTACAAAAAAAAGTTTTTAAAAATATTTTTATAAAGGACCAGGTGGTAATGCATTGCAGTTAAATTTACACAATTAGTGTGAGTTCTTAAGGACTTCCAAATTAAAACTTACAAATGAAAGAAGAACCTTTCTCTGTTGCTTCCCCAAATCATCTGTTGCTCCAAGTAATCATAAAAGACTTAAAGACTGAAAAGATGACAGTTAAATCAGTAGAATAGAATAGAGTCAAGAAACAAACCCTCCCACACACATGTAAGTTACCCAACAATATATGAAGTCAATGATGGTGCAATGTTGTGAGGCAAGAATAGTCTTGAAGTAAATCAGCTGGGCACATTAGTTACCCCTGTGGGAAAAATTAATCTTGACTGAACCTCATACCATCCACAAAAATTCATTCTGGTAAATTGCAAATCTAAATAGGAAACAAAGCAAGTGCATATTCTTGTAACCTTGGAATAGGTAAATATTTTTAAAAAACAGCTCACAAATAGCTTTAATCAATCATATAGGAAAAAAACCCAGTAACTTGAATTATATCAAGAAATTTCATTCATCAAAATATATAATTCAAGAGTGTAAGGGAAAACTGTCCAGTGGTACTCTTTCTTTGGTGTGCTCTCTCTCCCCTGCTCCCTTACCCCTCTGACTCTGCATATCAGGATAGAAGTCTGAAGGTACATAAAAAGCTCCTCCAAAATCAGGTTAAAGACAGCTCAATAGAAAAATGGGCAGTAGGGCTGAGTAGGCTGTTTGTAGTAGAATATCCAAATGGCTAATAAGCATACAAGATGATATGCAACTTGATTAGTCTTTTGGAGAACGCAAATTCAAACTATTATGTCCCACCACTGCTCAGATGGCTAAAATGAAAAAGACAATATGCCAAGTGTTGGTGAATATATGGGGCAACTGGAACTCTGTAAATTGGAATAACCACATTGGAAATAGCTTGGGTAGTATCTACTAAAGCAGAACATGCCTGATGATTTAGTGGTGCTATTCTAATATACATAACCAATGGAAACATGAATATATGTCCATCAAAAACAAGTACAAAATGTTTATAGAAGCCATATTCTTAATAGTCTGAACTGAAAATTTTCCAATTGCTTATTAGCAGTCAACTAAATAAAAACTCAACTAAATAAAAAGCAGTGAAAATTAATGAAGAACAACTGCAGTTAGCAATATAAATGAATCACATAAACATAATTTTATTAGCTATCTATTTCTATGTAACAATCACTCTAGTCTAAGCAGCTTAAAACAACACACATTTATAATCTTATTTTCTATGAGTCAGAAATCTGAACATGGCTGGGTTAGACCTCTGCTTCAAAGTCTGTCATAACCTGCTGTCAGGTATTAGCCAGGACCAGTTTCTCACCTGAGGTCTCATTCAGAGAAGGGTTTCCAGTCATGGCTGTTGGCAGGATTCAGGTCCTGAAGAGCTATTAGACTGAGAGCCTTGTTGACTATCGGTAGGAGACTACCCCCCGTCCTTATCATGTGGTCCTCTGCAGTGTAATCACCCTTTCAGTCCTCAGGCATGCAAACTGAGAAGCCAGTGGAGTCTACTGGCAAGATAGAAGTCACAGTCTTTTATAGTTACAGAAGGGACATTATTTTACCTTTGCTGTATTCTGCTTATTAAAGCAAGTCTCAGGTCCTCCCCACACTCAAGGGGAAGAGATTATATAGGAGTGTGAACACTAGGAGGTGGGGATAACTGGGGGTCATTTTAGAGTTTCCCCATCATAATAAAAGTCAGCAAAATGGAGTTCAAAAAGAAACACAGCTCTGTAATGGTTACCCTTGAGGTGGTTCACAACTGGAGAGAGCACTAAAGAGGCTTTTAGAGTGTTAATAATGTTTTATTTAATATTCTAGAGGCTGATTATAAAGGTGTGTTCAGCTTGCAAAAGTCATCAAGCTGTAAATTTCCGATTTGTGCACTTTTGTGTGTGTGTGTGTGTGTTTGTGTATGTGTGTGTTTTAGTATTTTAAAAATGATGACTGGGTCCCATATCCAGAGATTGAAATTTAATATAAAACAGGCCTAGTTGATAATGGAGAACCTGGAAAGGCTTAGAAGTTGAAGTTACCAGATATTTATGGTGATAGAGTAAAGTGGGGCTAAGGGTTGGTTGGAAGTGTTTATGTCTATTTAGACCATCCACCATCCACCATCCCCCCATCCCTGTTTATGCTGCATAATGCTGAGGTTTTTCCTCTTGCTGAGGCAGAGAGGCTCTAGATTGGGGAGTTTGCATTGTAAAGCTCCAAGCTGAAAACAGGTTAACTCAAAGTACACACACTGAAGGGTGAGATTTCCATCTTCCTTCTTATCGCAGCTTCTTGAATTCTGTTGGCCAAGTACAGATGTTTCAGTTGAGAAAGTAAAATGCTGTTCTCTGAAGAAAGCAATGAACCAAAGAGGAAAGGCCTACACATATTAACATTTGTGTATCCCTTGGGGAAACTGCCAGAAATCTTCCCAGGAGTTCATTAATCAATGAGTTTTTATTCATATATGTAGTTCATTAATTGATGAGTTTTTATTCATATACGTGCAGCTACCAACCATTCATTCCTTCTCTTTGAAATAGAAGAAAGCTGGAGATTATCAGACATGTGAGGAAAGACCAAATGAAGTAAACTGAAAAAGAAACATAGAAATAAAGGCAACTGTGAAGAAAACTTGCTAAATTATAGTATCTAAATTTAGAGAAAAGATACATTGCATCCATGCAATAATAGTAGGAAATTTAAAAAACAAAACAACGGAAAACAAAGAACTATTTTTTAGAAAATTGTAAAAACTAAAAATGTTAGAAAATATTAAAAATAAAACCCAAAGAATGTGTGGAAGATTGAGGCAGTTTCCCAAAAGGTAAGGGGATTAAAAAAAAAGAAAACTGGGAAGGAAAAGATAAGAACATTAGAGGACTGGTCTGGACAGTCCAGAGTCGTACTTGCATCAGGAGTTCCCAGAAGAGAACTCAAGCTTCTAGATTGTAGGGGTCCACTGAGTACCCAGTGCACAAGATGAAAATAGACCACACTAAGGAACATCAGGAACTTCAGATAAAACTTATGAGAGGATATCTGTTTCCAGTGAGGGGAAGACAAGAGTACATAAAAAGTATTGGGAATCAGAATGGCAGCAGATGTTTCTGCAAGGTAGAAGATGATCAAGTAGAATCTTCAGATTATGGAGGGAATTTGTTTTTCTCCAGTTTTATATTCAGAAAAACTCACCAGTGTTAGATTAGAGATGTTTGTAGATAGGCGGTTTCCCCAGGAAGCTACTGGAAGGTGTTCCATCAAAAAAGTTTGATCCTACAAAGAAGACGACATAGGAAACAGGTGCAGAGATTTACCTGGAGGAAGATGGAAGAAATTCAAAGACAGCAGCTGCCCAGCAGGTCTAGAAAGGAATCCTTTTCAGATTTAAAACACACTCAAATTTTCCCTCTTTACATGACCTGTTTGAAGGTACTGAGATCCACAATTGTGCCTAAGAAGTAGGGGTACATATACATATAAAAGATTGAATATGTGGTCGCCACAACAACAGTAAATGACTCAGTTATTCAATCCTAAGAAAATTAAAATTCCACAAAAGACAAATAGTACACTGATACCTGATTATGAAAATATTTACAAAATTACAAAAAAATCCTGTATGTTAACATATAATAAAGTTGGTCATATAACTGTGTTGAAAGTTAATTCAGGATTATGGAGGTGGTAAAGGAGGTATAGAAATTAAGCTTCATAGTTCATAATAGGAATCCATTGTTTAAACACATCACTCAGAGCAGTCAGAACTTCACTAGTCCTAAAGCAGGATTTCTGGAGGAAGGACTGTTAAAACACTGATCACTGGACCCTACCCTCCAGATTGGATTCACTGTATCTGGAGTGGGGCCCAAGAATTTGCATTTCTAACAAATTGCAGGGACCACTCTTTGAGAACCTGGAATACAGAGAAGTGAAAGAAAATACAGGGGGGTAGGGTGGGGGGTCCCACAGTTGCAAATATTCATCTTTGTGTAGTAGGAATGGAGACTGGAGATATGGGTGACTGCTGCTTTCATTTTTAAATCTTGTTAGTGCTTTTGCCATTTTACATTACATTTTTTGTATTAAGATTTTATGAAATCAAATTAATGTCAGTACATCCTTGTATCTAAGCTCAGTTCACCCCCAGCAGAGATTTGTGGCCCTCATGCAAACCCTTCCATTTTTTTCAGATCTCTGACAAATAGATGACAGGTGTGGGGATCTTCTTATAGCCACCTGGGACTATGTTTTTTAAAAAACACACAGGACAGCCCACTTCCCTTGGTATCTCCTGGGCATACTGCTCTTATGCATAGCACAGGACTATTCTTGACATTTAAATGTATGTTAGGCATATTTCATTCAAGGAAGTAGGGGAAATGTTTTTATTTCACATTTCAGTTACCTTGAAATTTTCCTTCTGGCTACATATGGTGGCATATACCTATAATCCCAGTGTTTTGAGAGGCTGAGGCAGAAGGATTGCAAGTTTCAGCAACTGTATAAGATCCTATATCAAAATAAAAAGGACTAGGGGATGTAGCCCAGTGGTAGAATGCCCCTTGTTCAATCTCTCATTTCTAAGAAAGAAAGAAAAATTAAAATTCCCATTTGTGGAGTATCTCATTGTTAGGTTTAGATATTATTACGTATTCATTTAAATCTGTTATCTGTAATTGAGCTGGTGAAGATGTGAATATTCCCCTACCCCTGCAAATGTTTTCACTGAACAACCAAACTTTCTTCCTTTCAGTTCTGCTCCAACATTGGTGGAAGACACAGTCTTGAAGCAGAAGTGTTTACTGACAACTGAGCTCTAAGGGACTGCCGCTGCCACTACCACCTATAACTGGAATATCCAGTATTCTCCAGCAGTCTGTCCTGGAATCCGTTTCTCCTGAAATGTGTTAGATTCAGGAGTCTGTCCTTTACTTGTAGGTAAAAAAGCTTTACCTAGATTAGACTCCATGAAAAAAAAAAAATTAGCTACGTTTTCCGTCCAACTAGAAGTTTATTTCCACTGTGTTTCTGCCCAGATCAGGGTATCTGGTTTTTTACTTTCTGTAGTTTTATTAGAGTTGGAAATTCCTGACTCAAGGAATTACTTCCCCCTGACCATTTCCTTCAAACTCTTGGTTCCACCTAGCTGTTGTAAGTGTTCGTGACTTCATAGCAAGGCTGTCTCTGGCAGTTAACAGCCTTCTAATTGTTAGATCCATCTTATCGGGGCGAGAGCTTCTTTGTGCTGAATGCCCATTAGAGAAATTGCACTTTACCATGTATTACCTGGAAATCAGGAATTTAGGAAATTGGTGAAGATATTATGTAGGTAGATTTAGGGCCAGCTCTTTCACGGTTATTACAGTAGTACTGAAGAGAAGTTGAGAATACAGAAGGTTTTAAATGTCCTCCATATTTTTGACTTATGGATTGGTTATCTAACTACTACAAATTTACATCAAGGTAAAATATAGACTTTTGAGAAGAACTAGAGGGAGAAAAATTGTTTTCCAGCCCTGTCTTCCCACAGGAAGCACTCTCGTGCACCACATACTTACCTTACTTTGCAGCCTGGAAGGAGCGGGTTCCTGGTTGATAGACCCTGGGCATTGACCTCAGGCCTCTCCTGTCCCTCCTGGGCCTGATGGGGAAGGCAGACTAGGTTGTGAAGGCACAGCTCACCGGTACTCTGCAACATCAGGACCTATTTGGACATGGCCTCCATCTCTTTATAATAAAAGCTGAAAAAATTCAGAGCTTTCACATACTAAAACAAAAATACCAGGAAAAAACTAGAGAACTGGGGTGGGGGCAAGAGGATTTTTCTTTTCCTTGAATGCCTGCTATGTATGAAATTTGTCCAGCACACTGAATGAAGTCATACTGCATTAGGGAGTTTGCATTAGTTTAGAGAGTTCTCTCAAAATTCTCACATCCCTTTTAGCCTGTACAGAAAAATTCTGGATGTTAAAATGCTAATCATTGAAAAGTAATCAACATTCCCCTAACACCCAGGAGCAACACTTATTTAGCTTTAAAACTATATAGACTTAAAGGAAAGTCTTAGTTGCCTTGGGGAATGAGGATGATCTAGAAACCATCCAGGAATGTTGTCAGTAATCCATTGTTATCAAGGACTTATATTAAGCTGTATGTCCTGAAATTTGTTTTGTTTTTTAGTTCTTTGCCCTATAATATATATGTAATTGAGTAAATTAGTTTTATAATCTTTAAAACTCCATAGTCTGGACTCTCCTGGGCTCCTGTAGCATAATTATGTGCTCAGGTTGACACATCAGTGTCTGCGAAGCTCAGGAATTTTTTTTTCTTTTTTAATCTAGTAGTTTTCCAGGGATCTGTAGAGATTGGAAACCACTTTTTGCACAAAACATTTTTGCTGAAGGAGAGAAAGTTGACACTCCTCGCTGGCTGCCTCCCCGTAGCTGTTTTGCTGGCAGTGCTCTTGCTGTTCTTCAGTTGCAGCTTAACCCAGGAAACATTGGACTAGACATCAAATTTTCAGTGTCTTAATAAGCCCTATGCCCTTCAAGTTAGTATTGTGCTGCTATCCTCAGAGCAGCTAGAAGGGCATTGTGGCTCAGAAGATCGACCTCATTTTACATTTTCTAAAATTTAGGAATTAAGTAGTCGAAAATATAACATTTGTCTTCAGGTACCTGTATGCTTTCCAGTCAGAAAATTGATAGGGACTTTCATTTGAATCTTAAGTTAAAAGGATATTTTGCTTTGCCCTGGCATGAAGTGGTAAACACGAAAATAATACTGGAATGATGAATTAGCTCTGACAGATAAAATACCTGTCACTTATGTTTCCTGTCACATCTGCTGCTAATGCTGTTCCCAGAGCTGCTATTACAGCTCATGCTGTTCTGCCCCCTGAGAGCTGTGGTGGTTGGGGAGGCAGGGCTGAGGAAGTCTGTGAATGTGCAGGTAGGGAAAGGGAGGTATCTCTCTGAGAAGAGAGAAGTACATTGAACCAGTTGAGGATGCTGGCCAAGAGGCTGCAGATAACCCTGGGTAAGAAGACAACTGGTAACAAGAGGCTGAGGGGAGGAGGGCAGCCCGGGCACTGAAGGCTTTCCTGGTGGTTTGTGTCCTGTGCTACACTGGGAATGCTGGGAACAGACTCTCTGCTGCCTACCCAGGGGGAGTGGCCAGGGGAGAATCCTAGCCATGTTACAGCCCTGGAGTGGGAGGGAGCATTGACTTGCTGCTGTAAAATAAGACAACAGAGTTGGCAGATAATTTGCTCTGGACTCAGCCTCCGCATTTGCAAACTAACCTGCAAGAACTTAATTATGAATATTTGTCAGTAGCATCTCTCTCCTCCACAGGAGGGACTCGTGGTTATTTTATTCCTGCTGTTCAGGAGATACTACTAACCAAAGCAGTGAATAGGTTCCTTGTGTGTTTAGCATTTTTACATTGTTTTAAGAAAATTTATTTTTTAAAAATATTTCATATCTTTGTCTTTAAGCTTTATTTACTTTTGTACAACCAGCTGCCCCGTGGACATGTATGGATGAGAGCCCTGAGTTGTTGCTTGGATCTAGGCTGCTTGTTCTCTTTATGCCCCTCAGTTTGGGTTAAAGCTTATATCTCTGTCTTCTCTTAGCCAGGACCTGAAAGTTAAGTCCCTTTGTCCCTTCAGAACTGTGGCTGGTGGGATTATTTGCCAGTTATGTATTGAAGAATCTTTTGTATTTTTCTAAGGATCTTTAAAAGTAGAGTTCTTTGTTTTCCCTTGAGCTGGGTCCCCACATTTGTTCTGAAAAGGGCTAGAAATCAATGAATACTTGGCCATTCAGCTCAGCTGGTGGTGCCCAAAGCAGCCCAGACAGCAGTACGATTGAGCACATCTGTGTTCTGTAAAGTTTATTTCGAAAAGCTCCTGACCCCTGGTTGCCAGCTTTGAAGAATGGCATGATGTCTGTCTCAGAGGCAGGCAGGTATTGAGAGGGGTTCCGTAGTATCACCTGCCACCTAGAGACACCCAGCGCTTCTGGACATTCATCCTCATCCACTTGTGCTGCAGCCAGGCAAGATGCAGTTGTGGGTCTCAGCAGTCTTTGTGAGATCCACCAGTTTTTGATTCGTCTTGCATTTGGCCATATATTTGTTTGAAAACCTGGATACTTCTGCGGACTGAAGAATGCACATTTCTAGATTATTTGTCCCCTTTTTTTTTCCTCTTGAAAACTTAAGCCTGGTTCTTGAATAATCAGAAGAAGGTTAGAAATTTTTTTCTGTTTCCTAGGAGGTTTGGATGGTAGAAATTTGTCCTGAGCTGAACTCAGCTGTGTTAACATGTTGGTAGAGCTGAGATTCTGTAGGATCTGCAAGCCACTCCTTTACCACACTGCTCGAGATAGCATTCAATCACTTCTCAGGATTTCTCCTTATCAGAAAGTTTTTTTTTTTTTTAATCAGAGTCCCTTTCCCTTGGTCTTTTTATATTTAGGTATAATAGACAGTTATGAGGACCTCACTAACTGTTTTATGTTTACTTTTTATATGTGTAAAGCTCTGCAGTAGCTTTGAAACTGTAATTTATTTTTCTATCGAGTGCACTATATTCAGTATGTTCCAGTTTTATATGACTTGTATTAGAAGCCCTGCACTGAACTGTGAGTTGTCTGTACACTGAAATAAGAACTCTAGCTGTGACTCTGTTCAAATAAAACTTTTGCAAGACATTGATGTTTTCATTTTCTTGGGCATGTAATACTTGTGTGTTGACTTCAACAGAATTGTTAGGCTACAGCCACCATTAATAGGAATGTGATGGGGTAAATTGAAGCAGTGACTCACAGCAGTGTAGGTGGTGTGAATTTGGGAGGGAAGACATTTTGAAGGTTAAAACTTCATGTGTCATGTCCAGCAGTCCTGGAGTGTACCTCGATCATTCCACGAAGCAGTGTGGCACAGGGAGGCGGCTTTAGTCACTGAGTCTGGCCTCCACTGCATACATAGTATCCCTGAGACCTTGAATAAATCAATAAGTCTGTCTCTGGCCCCGCCCCTGAGCCTCAGTTCCTTTGTCTGAAGGATGCCTGAAGTGTGCATCACAGCATCTCAGAGTAGGCAGGTGTCGCTGTGCCCTGCTCCCTCACCAGCTCCTGCCCACATGCAGTTTACAGCTTGCCATCCCCGTGAGGAGTACTGGTCAGGTTGCTTTCAGGACTTCTACTGGGCAGAGACACATAGCCCCATACAGAGTTGTCAAGGCTTCTGAGGTAAGTTGGAAAGGTACCCTCTTTCCTCTCCCCCTCTCTCCTGCCTACCAGAAGTCATACTGGGCCCCAGAAACAAGGTGCTCTTCTGTCTCCGCAGGGTATACAGGAAGCTCCTAGAAGGAATGTTTTGGGTGCTTAGATCAGTGGTTCAGTGATTGCCTAGCATGAGCAAAGCCCTGGGTTTGGTTCCCAGTACAGTAAAAAAAAAAAAAAAAAAAAAAAAAAAAAAAAAGTTTTTTGGGGCCAGTAACAACAGCCATTGCAACTTCACAAGGCTGTGGTTTCCTGAGAGGAAGGGGATGGACATGGGTCTTCCAAAATAACCAGATAAAACCAACATATTACCTGGAAAGGGCTTTTGTGAAAATCCTGGAGGGGCAGGGGATTCAGGTCACAAATCAGTAGGGTCAGTGGTGCTGCTGGGCCTGAGGAAGGGAACTCATATTGGTTTGGTGGCAGGGGTGTGTCTCCAAACGGTCTGTCTCTGGCCCCAACCCTGTTGCAGCAGGTGTTCATCCCACTATGCTTTGATTCCAGAACCCCCTTGTGAAGAGAAACAGGGAGCAGAACAAACAACCCTTCTTAACAGCAGAGGAGCCTATTTGAGTGCCCAGCCCTCCACAGCTCATACTGGTGTGTCACATGTCAAGTGTACTAGGCAAGGTTCAAAGATAGCATATGCTCCTAGGCCAGCATATTAGGATGACAGGGAAGAAATGGACTTTCAAGATCTTTAGTCCCAGCCCTGTAGTGTGCATATAAGGAAATTGGTCCAGAGAGGGATAGAAACTGGTCCTGGGTCACATGGTTAGGAACAAGAATCCAGATCTCCGGCTTCCAGGACTCCGCTCTTGCTGGTCTGATTCCCTCAGTGCTGCTTGTCTGCTGAACCAGAGTTGTAGTGAAGAGTAGTCTCTGCTTATCTGTTGCATCCCGAGGCCCTTCCACAAGTTCCACAGAAGCTCATCACTGCAAAGCAATTCCTTCCCAAAGAAAAACATCCGCAATACACTGGACAGAGCCATGTCTTTCTGCCATCTTTTAGGGTTCCCCAGGGGTTTTAGTCAGCTTTTTTGCTGCTGCAACTAAAAGACCCCACCAGAACAATTGTAGAGGAAAAGAGTCTTGTTTGCGGGCTCAGTCTGTTGACAGCCAACTGCATTCCTTCAAGCTGAACCTCATGGTGGAACAGTGTGGCAGGGGGAAGCAGAAGGAAACTCCACTTAGCAGATACAAAATGTATCCACCTAAGGCAAGCACCCAGAGAGCTGCCTCTCCCAGCCACACCCACCTGCCTTCAGTTACCACTCAGTGAATCCCATCGGGATCAATTCACGGATGGGGTTAAGGCCCTCATAATCCAATCATTTATCTTCCAAACCTTACATTGTCTCACATGTGAACTTTTTGGGTGCACCTAATATCTAAACCATAACACCAGGGCTTCAACAGCCCTTTCCTCTTCCCTGGGGTGCAGCCAATATCCCTTACCTTGGGATGTCTGCTCCATGTTTATCATGTACTCCCAAATCCCACATGTGCTGTCCCTTGTGGAACTCTTGAGGATTGTTTCATTGGGTGGAACCATGGGTACGCCTGAGAAAGCCCCACCATCTCTTTTAGAACTCCATGGTCAGACCAGAGATGCTATCAGGAGCAGGGTGAATCGAGGAGTCTGTTCCAAGAAAATCCAGTATAAAAGAACAGCTGACCATATGTGGAAGCACCAAGATCAGAGGTGGATTCAAAATTACATCGAGTGCAATCTTTTTGGAATTTAATGTGGTCAAGAGCAGCAGCAAGACCAGTGGATCCTCAAGACTTTGGTCAGAGGAAGGAAGTGTGTATAATGCTCAGAAGAAAAGTGGTTTTCCTCAAGCCTGAACATACCTGGTTTTGTTTCAAGCCGCTGTTAAGGATGGCAGGCACATTCCTGGTGCTCATGGCACCCAGGTTCAGTAGTCAAGCTCCTCTTAACACACTAATGGTTTTGTTAATAGCATGCTGAGAAACTATGCACAGAATACTTAGGTCATTGTTGCCCGGGTTCAGTTCTGGCAGTTACGACTCAAGATGGCTGCAGTCAGGTGGCTGTGTACAGAGGTGCTTCTCCTGGGGCGACTGCCAGCTTCTCTCACAGCTCTCTGCATCACTGACAAACTAGATGCACAACAAAAGTGTGCTCAGTGAACTGTCAGAGCATGAGGGTTCTCAGCCTAGAATATGAAGGCACACACCACTTTTAAGTTGGCCCTTTAAAGTGAATCATAATTGAATTACAAAAATACAAATAAACCCTGTTGGTTAACCTGTCCACCAGTCTCTCTGTCTTGTCTTTGTAAAGTGGTGATAATAGTAGTATTATGTTTTGAATATGAGATGTCCCCCAAAGCTCCTGAGACAATGTAGCAATAGATAACCTGATTAGATTACAAGAGTTGCACAGTAGTGGGTTAATTCATTTGTTGGATTAATGATTTGAAAGGACTGTGGACTGGGTATTACCTGTAGGCAGGTAGGGTGTGGCTGGAGGAGGTATGTCACAGGGTGGGGAACATATCTTTGGGGTTCATATTTTGTCCCTGGTGACTTGCTCTATCTGGCTCTTTGCTACCATGAGGTGAGCAGCTTTCCTCTGTCATGTTCTGCCTCACCTCAGACACAGAGAAATGGTGTTTTGACCGACACAGACTAAGACCCCTGAAACTAATTTTTCCCTCCTCCAAGTTGTTCACGTGAGGTATTTTGGTCGCAGCCACAAAAACCTAACACATACCCCCTAGAATAATAAAGATGAAACGAACTGACAATGTAGAATTCTTAGAAAAGAGGCACGCAGTAAATGTTTTGTGTTGGTGTCATTATTAATGGTGTGGAGGTGGTATGTCCCTAGCCAATCTTCATTCCTTTCCTTCTCTCTCACCTATCTGGTGATCCCCAATATTGCATGGATTCGGCCACCCTTTTTGAGGGTCTGGTCTCAGTTGCAGAGAGAAGGCACCCACCAGAGCAGATCCTAGGCCACAACTCCTTGAGTGGCTTCACCCTATGACAGCGATTAGTGTCCCCTCTGTCCATTCCTGACTGTCCCCCGACAACCTTTCACACTAAACAAATGACTGCCTCATTGATAAAAGTGGAGAGACACAGGCAGGGTGCACCTCCCTGTGTCTGCACCTACTGATCCCTCTTTCCATCCTGTTAAAACAGAAGTGCTCATCCTATTACAGACCGTGTCCCAAGCCTTTGTCGTCCTCCCTTCCGGCACTCTTTTACATGCCCCCTATCTGTCCTGTATCTTTACATTGCACTTGACTAAAAAGTGCTTTGCTTTGTCATTGAACCCTTTCCAAATGTTTCCCATTTTGAAAAGAACAAATAGCTCTTTCTGTCGCACATCTTTCTGGCTTCTTCCCTTCACAGACTTTTGTTTTTAATTTTAATGGTACAGGGGATTGAACCCAGGAGTACTCTACCACAGAGCTGCATCCCCAGCCCTTTTTAAATTTAATTTTTAATTTCAAGACAAAATCTCGCTAAGTGGCTGAGGCTGGCCTCAAACTTGTGACCTTCCTGACTTAGCCTACTGATCACTGGGATGACAGGCGTGCACCACCATATCTGGCACACAGACTTGAGTGTTGCCCTCTGTGTCCTGACTTGTGGTCCTGTCTAGTCTTGCCTGGTACATTGTAGCATCTGTCATTCTCTTCTCAACCTCCCCAATTCTCTTAGTTCATCCCTTAGGACAGATAGCCCAGGAAAAACTCAGTGGTCTAGAAGGACTGGCTGCATAATTTGTAGGGCTTAGTGCAAAATAGAAATGTGGGACCTCACTCAGAAATTACTGAGAATTTCAAGCTAGTAACAGCAAAGCATTAGGCCAAGCACAGGATCCTTTGAAGTGTGGCCCTGCTTAAGGTGTCTTTCTTATGCACAGTATTTCTGCACAAGTGTCCCAGACTCAGAGACTGGACACATATTTTTATGATCTCAGAGGAGGGGGAAAAAGAGATGAAGGAACCATGCTTCCGCTTGTCCTATTTCTGCCTGGAGATTTCATCCCCGTTGCTTGCATTTTACTGGCCAGAACAAATCAGAAAGGTGGATCCAGGGCAGTCCATGTTGCAAATTTGCAACTTCTCCTACTGATCTGACGGCTACTTGGTTTCCTTTCCAAGCAACTTTTCTTCTCTGCCCATCCAAAGCCAAGGACCTCTACACTTGGTCCCAGCCTGGATCTCACCCCCACACTCCTGAGCTTTGCTCCCAGGGTGTTGAATCCATCCACAGCACCAGCATGTACCTCTCAAACCTCCATCACCAACACACTTCTGCCTGGGCTCCTCTTCCTAAGCTGCTCAGTATATCTTAAACCAAACTTAAAAATTTCTGCCAAAGTCCCCCACTTCTCCAC